GAACAGAAAAGAGCGTTGAGTGGGGCAGGGGTGATGGGAACAGACCGGGATAGAGGGGGAGGGGAGGCTGAATGTTAAATGAGTGAGGTTATAAAGTGAATGGTCTTGTAACTGACAAGGACAACAACAATCTATCTTCATCTCCCAAGGGAACCATTTTTTTGGTTGGGGGGGGGGGTGCTTACGTTGCTTACACTAGTAGGAGCGTGATACAGTTCATGGACACTCTCGTTTTCACACAAGAAAGGACATACGTGCTGAGGCACCTCTGCTCGAATATCATTCTCCCTGTAAGTGTTTTGCGCCCCGTTGGCACTACTTTAGAAGGCTGGTTGTTTCTATCCTGTTAATCAGGGTGAGCTCGGAGCAAGTAGGATACCGTAGGCCTACCAAGGCATACATACACACAAATGATAATATACTCGATAAAAGATTTCCCCACTCGGATATTGAACCCACGCCTTCTGTGTACGACGGCCAAGAGCCTAATCGTCTATTCTACAGACGCTGGTAGGCTATCTAAGACGATAGTTAGAAAAAGAGGGAGGAGGCACTGGAAAGTCCTACTCCTTTTCTTTCCCTCTGATGCTTCTGTCTGTCCGTCTTATTGTGTCAACATGCTATTCTTTACTCAGATTCAGATCAGAGTTACGTAGGAGACGGAGGCTGGGCCAATAGGCAGATGGCTTGACTTGACTTGCCTTGCACGATCTTTGGTGTGGATGGTCGGCGGGTGCTCAGGTGTGGTTTAGCTCCTTCTTTCCAATCAAACATTTACGGTCCTTTTCTCTCCTCCGATTTTGTGTTTGTTACTCTATAGTGACACCTCAAATCGTAGGCACTTATTTGCCCTAATTGTGTTGCTTGTGCCGTAAAACTTCTACTAAAATAAAACTAACTTTGGTGGCACTACAGATTTCCATTCCCTGAGAGCGCAATGTCATGGCCGTTGTCATTCGCTCTTGTATAACCTTTGTCGAGAAGCGTAAAAACCATGGACCGCGCAGTCTCGCTATAGACAGAAGGAAAACCTTCCTTCCAACAGCCCCCCC